TAAGGGAAAAAATAAGGAAATATTATTTAGTAGTAAAGAAATTAATATCTCTAATGATAATTTAATCTTGGTGAATCAAATCTTTGACTATGAAGATTGTAAGGACTGTCAACCTCTCGGATTTGTTAATGTCATTTCCGATAAAATTGGTTATGGCTCATTAACTTCAAAACACCTGAGCATAAATGAAAGCGATGATGGTTCAATTGTTTATCTTTCAATTCCTATTAAAAAGGGTTGCTAAAATACTGCATCCTGCATAAATCATTGTTATTTTCATAATTTAGATTTACTTTCTGCTAGTCTTAATCAATGGGTCAAAAAGTGTCGGTGAATTAATTTACTTAGCGGAGTGTTTATTATCATAATGAATATTTAAACAAACATCGTAGTTTAATAAGGTTTATCACGTAATTAATATATTTTTATTAGCTGTTAGTAAAAAAAATAATACGTGAGTTTATCATTTCAATTTTTACGGCAGACCATCTTTATTTATCCCTGGTTTGGCCAAATTTACAATTAATTGAGTATTCACAAAGATCGTACAAGAACCTTATCATGCATATTAACGAACTAAACGTAGTGATAACGACATTTGATAAAATATTACAATTCTTATTTTGATTGATTATAGTAAATGTGCATCGTCACGTTTATTAGTTAATCACATAGAGAATAACGTTTGTGCAAACTTTGATTAGATTCGTTATCAAAATTTTACGTAAATATAATTATAGTTGTGCACGATTACGATCATGAGCTAATCACATCGAGGTTGAGGCTTGAGAACGCCCTTCAAAAACGCAATTTATTTTTATCAAAATTTTGTCATGATTGAAACCTTCTATTTATAACAAATCAATTTAAGAGAATAACCTATTTAGATTGGTTAAAATCAAAATAATCTTTAATTTTAAATTTTGATAATAATTTCTCGTATCACATAAATATTTGTCTGTCAAATAAGTTTTAATTTGAACTTGCGGTATACCATAGATCTCAAAGTTGCGCAATTTATAATTTTACTAGCATATCTCGCGTTGCTTACGCAATGCCTTAGATATTTAAATTTTATTGCGCTTACTAACCAAGTCTTGATAATTGAGCTTTTTACAAAAAGTAAAAATATTTGACCAAATTTTAAATATTGTAATATGCATATGCATATTATTCAACTAATAATTGTTTTAAATGGTGTTTTTTCCGATTTATTTATTTGCGCGGGTAACACAAACCAAAAAAGGAATCAAATTTTGTAAATAAACCAAGTGCATAAAATAGAAGTTTACGATTAAGACTAGCAGAAAGTAAATCTAAATTATGAAAATAACAATGATTTATGCAG